CGGAGCCCGATGTGGGGCTAGATCTCATGACTCATGAGATCAAGACCTGAGCCAAAACCAAGTTCGGGCACTTAACTGACTGAGCCACGCAGATGCTCCTCCGCATTTTCTAAATATCGCACAATAAGTCACTTCTGGGTAGCTTTTGTGATTTGTAAAAGGCCCTGTTACTGAAACTGTCAGAATCCCAGATACGCTAAGGTGCCCCCACGCCACAGCCCCCTCCTCTCCAGGCCACCTCCTTGTTCTCACCCTTCCTTCCTCCTCCCTGAGCAATGGGACACAAAAACCGCCATGCAGCTGCCTCATCCTGGGGCCCTTGAGGACTGAACCTGACCCCGAGGACAGCCTGAGAGCCCGCTCTGGGGTGACCGGACGGTCTGGGCAAACATGGGCCTGCAGCCTCCCAGCTCACTCACCGACACAATCTGGCTCCGGATGTCTTGCAGGTGACTTCGAAGGACCTTCATGTCCTTAGAGCCTGAAGCGCCAGCATCCAGAACAAACAGCTTGTTTGAAATGTGAAGATCGTTCCCAAACCTAAGGGAAGAGCAGCGGCCTCCTCAGGGTGCTGTGGTCCTACCAGGTGTCCCCCCAGACGGCAGCGTCCTGCTGGCCCGAAGCCAGAAAGCTCTCGTGACCTTGCAAAGGCCGCCCCCTCCCCACCGCCTGCTGGCTTCTGTCATGTAACATGGGTGCGAGGGGTGGGGACCCGCACGCTCCGAGTCCCGCGGGTGGCGGTGGCAGACGGGTGAGGGGCGGCTCCAGTCCCACAAAACGGCAGGGACACAGTATGGGAAGATTCCAGGTCCCCTGACGCAGGACAGGTGAGGCCTGTGCCCTCCCCTTGCATGCTAGGAGGATGGATGCCATTGCAGGGTGACGGCGTAAGAGCAGACGATGGGCCTGACAGCCACAGCTTCGATGGAAAATATTAGTACGAGCCCTCTTTTTCCTATCAGGAGGACCACAGGAAGTGTCTGCAGTCGATCAATCGAGAATTCGCATTACTGGCAGATTACATAGAGCTGCAGCTTCAAAGTTTTTTTGACAGATGCTATGTAAAAATACATATTTCTGCACTGTGACCTGTGCACGTCCACACTGATCAATGAACCAGAAGTTTCACAGAAACACGTGCCAGGAAAGTCACGCTGGTATTTCTCCCTCCAGGCCTTCCCACTTTCCAGACAGGTCAGGACCCCCGAGTCATGAGCCCCTAAGGAGCGGCAACTTCGACAGTGAGCGATTCTGCTCAGTGGTAAGAAGACAGTCGTCAGAACCGAGGTTAAAGCAACAAAAAGAACCGAGGTCTACATCAACCATGGTGTCAACCATTGATGACACTCTATATGACAGACATTCACTAAGGGTTGAACTTTTTTTTTTTTTTAAAGATTTTATTTACTTATTTGA